AAATCTCAAGATCTGGGCACATGCTAAATTTCCAACTTATCATCTGAGGCTGCCATACTGACACGCCATCAGGCACTGCACCGGTTCTCCTATCCAAGAAACTTTCAGCAGCTACTGGAATTTTTGACCAGCATGGTACCTCATCAAGAAAAGGAATCAGAGGTTTTTAATAGCCCTACCGCCAGGAAACGTTGCAGACAGAGGAAGAGAGACAATCGATTCGTGGACGGAAAAGCAGGGCTGTACTCATACTGCACAAAGCCAGACAAAGCTCAGGACACCGGGACAATACACGTACTCCCATTACTAATTTATTACATTATTTTGCTACTGTTCTTGGCTCTTTTAAAGCTCCATATAGTTCAACAGAACTCTGTGCAATCTAAGGATTGTTGCCATCCATCCTACTAGTTCTGAAACCTTCTGACAGCCTTTCTTCCAAGCAAGAAATTGTAAAAGCTCTATTAACACTATGTCTTTGTAAGTAATCCGGACAACTACGTATTTTTAAGCGGCAGCAGCCACTAAACATTGAGAACACACTTTCTAAAATTCTGAATGTCTTTTTTCCCTCTCAAAGAAAATGCGATTTAACATCATGCTGTTTCTCCAATCCCAGCTAATACTTTGCACTCTTCTGACCAAATCTGACAAAAAGGAAGAGGCCTGAGAGATATTAAACACCTGTTAAAATCTGAGGCTGGGGTGAGGGCAAACCCAAACACTACACCCCACTCACAACAAGTCAGCAAGGTCTCATCCGTTACCCCGCAGCAGCTACCTCCAGGAGATGCTACTACCATGGGAACAGCATGGAAGATTCCAAAATCTCACAGCAGGGAGTGTCACAGACTATGTAGGAAACACCAGCCTTGTCCAGTGAAAAGGTAAAGGACACAGGACAAAAACCTCTATGAAATGACTCTTGTTTAGTTCTGCTTTTCATGTGATGATTTATTGAAATACAACAGCTAGAGGTCTTCCTGTACAGTTAATGGCCTGTTGCTGTTTCCCCCAAAACAGCTGACATCTCACAGATTCGGAATGGCTTCCTTCCAAAGGAAGTTCTCTCCTGTTAGTTTTTTCTGTAGCTTAAACTTCTTGGGACATCTAAAAGTCAGCCTGTTGTTCCTCTGTATCTCAACTGTTCATGCAAACCATCCGTTACACAGCACCACAAACCCTTTATTTTCTTATCTGCACTGCAATTAGCCAGTATATAATGAAGGACCATAACAGTGGATCAGAGTAAACAACATGAACAAAAAGAACTGAGAATACAGTCCAGCTTTCACAAAGACGTACTTACACAACACACCAGAAGCAGCAGACAGCACCATAATTTCTGATTTCAAGATTTTGTAGTTTTCCAACAAACGTCAGCAAGCCTTCGAAAATCACATCTCCAGAAAAGGATGTTGGAAGATTTCCATATATATCATTCCTCATGTGTTTAATAAAGAGACAGAAAACAGAATGCGACGGTAAAATGCACTGCATTTCTGTCCTGGGAGCTAATAGCATGGGGTGGTTCCTGATTTATTGCAAGTCTCCTTGAAAACTTCTGCTTCGTTTCCATAAGAAGAATTTTTAAAACTTGGAAACAACAGTTTGGCACAAAGCAAGGTATGAGTTATCCCAATCAATCAACGTGTGAGGTTTACTAGAAAGGACAACTTCTCATTGAGCGTCAGTCTGCCAGCCGCTACCAGGTGAGACTCCTGCCTCCCTCACGCAGCCACACAGACAGGTGACGTGTTCTCACTCCATCACGTAAGCAGCCAGCGTACAGGGCTGCACGCAGCATCAAATTCCACATCACAGTCAAGGCAGGCCATAGTGTGTAGCTGTGAATTCACCTGGTATGCTCTAACTACACAACTCCACCACAAGATGACACAGAAGAAAGCTCCTCTGCCCAAGCTGTCCTTCATTTTCGCATCCCGTGATGACCTGAACATGTTGCAAACTGACAAGTCTTAGGAAATTAATTTAATTTTAAAAGCACAAACAGTACAAAGTGATCAAACTGTGTGAATTTACAACACACAGTTCATACACTTTACTGTATGCACTGCTGTAAAACAAATTTTCATTATGTTAAATCTGCACCAAATTAATGCAAGTAACTAAATTACCAGAAAAAATGTAAACAAAATTCACTATACAGTGGAAGAGAAAAGATGACAGGTATTTATAAAAAAAAAAAAAGAATGAGAGTCTGCTCAGTGCAGCACCACCCAGTTGACACGCTTCTGCTAACACAACACTCTTGCTGGAGTGGCAAACCCGGTATTATTGTAGTGGCAGGAGAAGGAGAAAGAGGTTGAAGAATCTCATTTAGATGCAGAATCTGAAAATCACAATTAGCTCTTGCTGGCAGATCTCCACTCACTGGATTGTGTATAGTCCACGTGCAAGGGGAAGAGGGAAGGAGACAGAGCTGAGACAACAGACCAGTCCGTGCAGGCTTTAACTGGAAACAACAGGTGATGAAGGTTTTTATGAATGAGAGACAGGGAATTCACTGAAACGTTCCACCGCTGCGAAATGGAAGTGGAACTAATACCAAGTTCAATACACACACCTCTAACTGTTTTCTTTCCAGTCACATAAGCCACAGACTGCTAAAAGAACAAAAAGCCCTCAGTGCTTCGTCGGTAAGATGCATTTGATAATGGGCAACTTCACACCAACAGTAACACATATTTGGGGCACAGAGTCTTACAGTTTTCAAGACTTCTATCTAAACTGTGTTCAGACTGTCTGAGAAGCCATCATCGTAAATTTGTACACCCAGACCAAAACATCAAACAGGAAGCTCACCATTAACACACAGGAGAGATTTCCAGTGGTTACAGAGATTTTTTTTAAAAAAAACAAACAGCCACACACATACTCACGTCTGACAAATCCCCTAAAAAACTCAAAATAGTACAATTTACAGAGGAAAGCATTCACTGAACATGAATTAATAGATTCCCAAAGGGGCCATGTACTTCTGAAAATGTTTTTGAAGTCTTTTGTGCACAAACCGCAGTGAGCAGTTCAGCTTATGCATAAGAACTAGAAGGTCTCTAATATAATGACAAAAAAAAAAAGAGTAACAGATTTAAAGTTCCTTGAGAAATAAATATTGATATATTTAGCGAAAACACTAGTGTAATATTCTAGTTACTTGCTCTATGATCCAAATAGTTAGGCCATGTACCTTATTTCATTTGATATAGAACTTAGCCATAACTGACCTTTTCAGCGTATGACTGGGAAGCTTCAAAAGCTGAAGTCAACGTAGACACAGCACTTAATTTAAAGAAAAATTAAATGGAAAAAGGGAAAAGGAGACTGTCCAACACCACAATGAACAAAGACCACTAAAGGAATTCTGATCTGGGACCCAAACACTGTATTTGGACAACTAAAAAAGAAAGTTGTTTTGGAAAAGTTTGAGGATACCAGCTGTTCCTAACTGGACAGGTGACTGTTCCAGCAAAAGGAGCAGAGAGTACTCAAATTTACACTGAAAATAAAAAGGACATTTGAACTTTCAAAACAGAGATGAAGAAACACGTTGGGTTCTGTATCATTTTAGATTTTTAAATACAAATAAGGTATCTTTTAAAAGATTAGACTACATTCATCAGAAGTAATCACGCTCAATGACCAATTGTGAGGTAACAGTCTGCCTTATTTAACAGGTACAGTTACGTGAGCAGAGTGTATCCCTCTTACGTAAAAATCTCCAACTCTGAAACTTTATGGTAGTAAGGTTACACCCCATCCTGTTTCATAAATGCATGAACTGAAAGATATCGCAATAAAATGTGATTACAGCCTTGAGATAAATTTTTAACTAAAAATACCTGTTATAAAAACAGCAATACTGAAAGAAAAAAAAATAAAGCCAAACTAACAAAAAACCTCCCAAAAAACATACAGCAGGGAGAAATTAGTGGCCTAGCAGAAAAAGGGTAATGTTCATAGTGGGTTGGCTTTTTTATCCTTACGTCATGTGGATGAGTCCCACAACATAAAGCAAGGAACTATTTTTTTCTGTGGAGCTCTAGAGTAGGGTACGTGAAACACTGCACTGAGTATAACACAACAAAAATATATTCAAATAATTGTCAGATACTGAGAAAGTTCAGAGACAGTGATGAAAAAAGATCAGAAGATGGAAAAACAGACTAACAAACAACAAATTAAGTTAGTGTATCTTGACTAGAATGGTATGATGTATGAATGGCATACACCTATACACCTTTGTAATAGAGAATAAAAAGTAATTATTTAGAGAAGTATTAAGTTTTTCCTAGCTACAGAAATATGAATGAGGAGGGAAAAGTTGTGAGATAAGAGTCTTTGGACAAGCATATTTCTCTGGCTGGAATCATCTCCAAGGTAAAATGCCAGGCACGTCACGATTTAGATATTTAAAACCATATTAGGCGACTCCTACATAAAGGTACTGCAGGTCAAACCTGGTCTTTCGTCAAAGTGGATTAGATTATTTTACACATTTTCCACCTCCAACTTCTAACCCCAAAATAAGAACAGATTTTATTCTAGCACACGTCTTTAGAAAACCAGCACATAAAACAAACTCCCGTTGTATTTTTGGTGAACAGAAGTAAAATGAGAAGCATTAGAATGATGATGAACTCATTAACTCAAAACAGCCACATAAATAAAAGTAAAGCAGGTCTAAAAATTTGTCTAAAATAGCCAATGAGACTTCTCCAGGGGATGGATGAATCAGTCTGGTTTAAGTCAAAACGAAATGTGGAAATAGTTGCAAACTGTCCGTGGACCAGTGTCTCATTCTAAGTAACACCATGAAACTGGTACAAAAATTACCTTCAAGACAAATTAATTCTACATTGGTAAAGAGCATACCAAGCTCTCGACAGCTGTACAGAAAGCTGCAGAGCTTGATGCCAAGGAAATGCATTTGCGTTATTTTAAAAAGCACACTGATGAGTAATCTGTTCTTTTCTTACCATCGTACTTTATTGCACGTCTGCGTAGCGCCAAGAGGAGAACCTGCCACCATGGGGACTTGGATGGGGCTATGCTGTTTGTTCATGACAAGATCCAACTTCTCTTCCAGTGATTTACAGGTAGCCTCTAGCGCCAGCAACTTGGCCTCAATGCTGTCCAACCGCAGGCATATTGTCTGATTAATGGAATACAGGAACGACTACAAAGGGGAGAATGCAAAAGAAGCTCCTTTTAAAGACTTACGCATTTATCTTCAGCAACATACGCACAAGGGAGCTCCAGATAAATGTGACTGGAAAACAATCCTAAAGGAACCAGCAGCATACCTAGCGACAAAATCCAGCTACGTACAAAACTGATGACATCCAGGAGCATTTTAGCATTCTCACATTCTTCCAGATCTTTATTTAGAAGCCAAAAGCATCTGAGCCAAACACATTTTCACCTAAGCACTTTGTTAGTGTGATTCCATACACCACAAAATCATTTATAATGACATGCCAAGGCCTTTCCTTTGATACATGTAAAAACAAAAGGATTATAAATCTATGAACGCATCCTCCTGGATAAAGTTAAGTAAGATTTTTTTCCTGTCCAAACAGATAAATTCAGATTATTACAATGGAAATTATATCAACACAAATAACCTCAGAGACAATTAATGCAGCTCAGTTTTCTCCTGAACAGCAAATCATGAAAAGCAAATAAATAAAATCCGTTCTCCTAAGCAATTTTATACAAAAGAAAGCATATTCTACTGAGTTTCTCTAGGGAAAAATAGGCCATTAAAGGGTAATGTTACACACATTCTCCTTTGCAAACAGCAGCTATGCCATCTTGTGGCCCTCCATTACAATTTACACACCTAATCAAGCTGCTTTACAGTGCTGCTCCCTCAGTGCTCTTTCAGTGCAAAGCTTCAGCTTCTATGACCATTTCAAAAATACAGAATTACATACCATTTCACGTGTGTGGCAGTAAAATACTACTCATATACTTCTGCTCCAAGACCAAAGAAAAAAAAAACACCACCAATAACAAACCTAAAGCACACTAGTGAGAGCAGCAGGGGAAGTTCTGCAAGTACAGAAAAGCCTGAGTTACTGAGCCTGAGCCAAATATGGCTTAACCGTTAGGAGAATGTTGTTAGCTTCAAATAATAATTTAAAACATGCTGAAAGTTATCTACAAATTGTCATACAAATATATCCTCAAGCTTACCTTTTAGGTCAACTTTACTCACTTTATCAAAAAATGTACCAAGAGTGATGTTTGAGTCACTGGAATGAATTCTGATGACATTTTCTATCGCATATAAAATTCTTGCTACTGATTTCACACTGGAAGATTAGCCAGTCATCCAGATTTTAAAATTTACACACAAAAATGAACAAATATCTGCAAGACGACTATGAATAATTCCAATATTATGTATAAACAGTTTATTTTACATTCTTTGGTTTCACTTCCCCAAGAAAACTAACTTAATTGGTATTAAAAGTAAAAAGAGAAAAAGGAATTATCATAACCTTAATAGAGGGATCCTGGCAGTTAATTTCTATACGCTGACGTTTCAGAGCAGGCTCTACATCATCATCTGTCACTTCATGATTCTCCAACACAACTGTGAAGAAAAATAAGCATTGCCATAGTTTACAATACAAGAGGACAAGGCTCAAATTAAAAACACATTAAATGGATAAATCAAAAAAATAAACAAATATAAAAGACATTTAGTTAACATACTGTATATATTCTTCTACGCTTACTTGGGTTTTCTCTTAAATTTATGACAATGGTTTACTGCTTCTCAAAAAACACTTATCCAAATCTAAGACCTTGTTTCAAAAGCAGTAAGGATGTAACACTTAAGCATCACCTTGGATTTTCTTACTGGGAACTTACCAGGAGGTAGCAGAGTTGCCACATCAGCTATTCTGCTTTGACAGATTCTACAGGCTTCTGAACCCTCATGTTTATACAAAACCATAAGAAGTACTAATGAAGTTCTGTACAAAAGACAGGATTACACCCACCCCTCAGTGTAGTAGCAGGTTATTTTTCTCAGTATAAATGAACAAAATCCTGCAAGCTTTCCAAAATAAATACTTATATACAGACCTACAGGTTCTAATAGCTTTTCATCTAAAGGTAAACATTTTGAAGAAAACAGTAACAAAAATGAACTGAAATAAGAACTGGAAGGCCTGGCTGGTAATATCACCAGGTAGAGCCCCGAACAGCCTCCTGCTCAGAACATCACCTGAAATCGGACCAGGTTCTAGCTCCTTTACCAAGCTGAGTGAAGGACCACTTGTTCAAGGCTGACCATACCACAGGTGATAATCCTGAACACCAAGTCACCAGCTAGACTAGGACAGGCAGGTCCCAACTTCTCCAGCTCTTCAGGAACATTTCTGCAGAAACTTTTCTGTTCCGCATCCAAAAAAACGTTTTTTTGATATGTTTCTGTACTACAACTGTAGTTACTGTTCTTTCAGTCACTTACATCTAACGGCAGCATAGGATCAGTGTCTATAGCTGATCTCAACACGTTTTCATTTAGTAGGTCAAGTTCTTTGCAAGGGATATCATAATATTTGCTTTCAGAAGTGTTTTTTAATTTCACTGTCATTTAGTTACACATCCAAAGAATTTTAATAATGTATGAGACAAACTATTTTACAAGTAAGACAACAATTCATAACAGATGGGTGACAGTTCTCATTTGAGGGAAAACCTAAAATATGTATTTCATCCGGAGAAAAACAAAAGATTGCAGGAGGTCGTATTCCATTCAAAGTTCGTCCGCACAAAAAAGCCCCAGGCAATAAAGCCTTTAAAAGAAAAGAAAAAAATCATCGGATCTAAAGGGTACTGAAGAAATACAAGTTAAGCTACTGAAAACTTTGTATGTAGTCTTACCAAGTGCCTCAGAAAAAAACCCTGCAGCACTGCTTTATATTATATTTATATTTTTAAGAAAAACTCAGCAGTGATTTCCACCTTGTTATTGGGCAACACGATAAACGATCTTTCTTATGCCATCACTGCCATCTCTGCTGTACCTGGGTTATCCGGAGTCAAGTCTTCAACAGCAATCTGAACAACATCTGCCAAATCCTGTTCTGACATCATTCAGAACCAGGCAGCAAGATCCAGTCAAACACCGCTGCAGGCCCCCAAATAAGGAAACTCACAAGTCATGCAATCCTGAAAAACAGCAGTAAGAAGCGTGTTAATACAGATACACTTGATATGTCAATACTGAGTTTATTTTTTCATTCTTCCTCTACAAAAGAACATGCAGTTCCTAACAGAAGTGACCAACGTATAAAGTGATCATCCAGCGGTATCAACTGCTCTGTTATTTGGTAGCCTCGTCAAAAAGCCAAGGGCTGAACTATCTTCATCATCTCTGAGTAAAACTTTCTATACCAGGACTGAGACAAGAGCTCAAGCTTTCCTTGCTTATCCACCTGTCTACTTTTTCCGAATGGATACAGAAAACATTTAGCTTCAGAGATCTGGCAGCTCATGAGTACAAAATACAAAATAAAATGTTTTCTTTTAAATTGATTTTTTGTTTTAGCAGTTTTAAGAGCGTACAAGACCATTCCTAAATTGCCGGGTTTTAATTTACAAATTATTACTTTGCTCTTGGAAGTGATCAGAATTTAGTATTCAGTCTTGATGTCGCAAAAGCACACGAAGCTCCCAAGCCACATTAGATTTGCAGTTACTGCATTCGGTACAGATCTATATGCACACAAGATCCTCACATGTATGAATCTTCACAGGCTCTAAAATCCTCACAAACATTCAGAGACAACAGGGAGCTTCCTCGCAGCTAAATACAACTAGACTTGAAGCAAAGTTTGACTTTTTTTTTCTTAGCTATTGCTTTTGCATGGTTTTTCTACAGCTCAGTTCTGATGAAACTATTTTCAGAATACGGTTCTGATTTTAAAGCCAAATTATTTCTCAGCCCTGCTCCCTTGGAATTCTCTGTCAAGGTTATTTATTAGCGTTTTAAGAGAAATCTTCAGCCTGTAAAATTGAATTAAAATCACTGGAACCATTCATATCTGTGCTTTCCCACAGTTTACAAACGGATGGGACAAGGAATACCAAGAGATCAGCCAATTTTTCCCTGTTTTAACCAGAAGCAAAAAACACCAGAGAGACAATTTGAGGTTCACCAATGGAAATGGTAATTCATCCCTTAACACTGACACCGAATCAAATCCAACTACGCATAAAGATTTTCCTCCTTCCCTCATCCACTCGAGCACAGGAAAGCCATTAAGCCAGACAGGTGGAGCACAGATTTTTGAAGAGAGCAGCACAACCTACAGAAGAATTCTGAGACTGGCCTGAGCGACGGCTGCGCGCCACGACAGCCCGTCTCAGGAGGAGGACTCCCCACATATCAGAATTGTTTACTCAAAATACCAGCACTGCCAACACGGAGTCATTTGAAATTCTGATCATGGTGAAAAACTACTGGGACAGCGCAGACTGCGGCAGCACGCCCAAAAAATCTGGCAATGCATTAATGCATGTGGATGCCATTTTGGCAACTTGTATTTGCCATTTCTGAGAAATCCTGGTAACCAGCCAGGCTTAACATAATAAAACAGCTGTGCTACAGTTACTGTTTCATAATGTTACATACTGCTAGTAATATTAAGAGCCCTGCCCTCAACTTGAAGGAAAACATCTGCCGCTCCAAACGCTAAAAAAGACAAACTAGAACAAAACCCAACTTTTAAAACTTTGTCTGTTTACACGCTTCAAGACTTCACCAATACGCCACATGCTGCATTTAAACCAGTTTTAGCTACAAATACATCAATATTCTATAAAACATTCCAAAAGATTTGCACTGGTTTTGTTTAAATCCACTTTAATACTTCATATGATGCCCATATTTAGCCTTCTAAAATTGATCATAAAAAATTTGTGAAATTAATTAAACCTTTCTTCAACACAAAAGAAAAATAAATTCACAATGCTGTCATCTCTTCTCCCCCTCTCACTGGTCATAGTCTGAAAGCGTTCAACCTCACATCAGAAAAGTAGTACCAAAATATTCCGACACAGAGTCCTTCTACAAGGGCATCACAATCAAACGGTGACTGGCAGAGCAGCTACTACACGTGCACAGCAATGTGTCTTCATAACTCTAGTACTTATTTCCATTTAAACAAATTTTATTAGAATTTCAAGAAGTCGGACACCGCTCGTAGGCAATCAGCCAACATCATGACGGAACACATTTTTGCCTTCTCAAGAGGCAGAACAAAATATATTCCTGC